ATGGTAGTGCCAGTGAGGATGGAGAGAAGTAGGTAGATTCAGGAGATGTAGGATGCTGAACTGACAGCACTGTGTGATGGATTTCCTGTGGGGGAAGGAGTCAGAGATGATGGCTGGGAACCTGTGCTGGACTGCTGGGTGGACATCGACTGACCATGTGACCGACTCTAAATATTACAGTTATAATTCTACTATAAGGCTTTCTACTAAACACAGTAAATAGTCATATGACATTTACTATGATTTACAACCATAGAAAGTCATTCTTATCTTCATGATTTCTGCCTTATTTTTATAAAACAAATTTAGAAGGAAAATCTATACCAGAATTAGAAAATTTAGAACAGCTTGTGTCAAGAGATTTTTTTTTTTTTGCTTTGTTTTTGTTTTGTGATTTATTTATTTTTTAACTTTTTTTTTTTTTTTTTGCGGTACGCGGGCCTCTCACTGCTGTGGCCTCTCCCGTTGCGGAGCACAGGCTCCGGACGCGCAGGCTCAGCGGCCATGGCTCACAGGCCCAGCCACTCCGCGGCATGTGGGATCTTCCCCGACCGGGGCACAAACCTGCGTCCTCTGCATCGGCAGGTGGACTCTCAACCACTGCGCCACCAGGGAAGCCCTTATTTTTTAACATTTTTAATGAAAAATTTCAAACATATACAAAATAAGAGAGAATAGTATTGAAACACATTTATACATTTCACTCAGATTCCAGTTATTAATTCACGTCCAATCTTGTTTTATTTAAAAAAACTCTCCTCCCATACAGCTACATTTTTTTAGCTTTGTTGAGATAAAATTGACATACAGCACAGGGTAAGTTTAAGGTGTACAACGTGATGATTTGATAAACTTATATATTGCAAAATGAGTACCACAATAAGGTTAGTTGACATACACATCACTTCATATAATTACATTTTGTGTGTGTGTGTGGTGAGAACATTTAAGATTTACTTCTTACCAACTTTCAAGTATATAATATAGTATTGTTAATTATAGTCACAATGCTGCACATTAGATCCCCAGAATTTATTCATCCTAAACTGAGTTTGTACATTTTGACCAACATTTCCTCATTTCCCCCACTGTCTCAACCTTTGGCAACCACCAATCTCTTCTGTTTCCACGTATAAGTGATATTATACAGTACTTATATTTCTGTGTCTCACTTATTTCACTTAGTATGACACCTTCCAGGTCCATCCATGTTGTCACAAATGGCAAAATGTCCTTCATTATCATAGCTGAATAATACATATGTATACACACACACACACACACTTTCTTCATCCATCCATTGATGGACACTTAGGTTGTTTCCATATCTTGGTTATTGTGAATAATGCTGTAACGAACATGGGGGTGCAGATATTTCTTTGAGATAGTGATATCATTTCCTTTGGACATATACCCAGATATGGGATTGCTGGATCATATTCATAGGGTAGTTCTATTTTTAACTTTTGTATAACTTCCAAGCTGTTTGCCATGGTGCCTATGCCAATTTACATTCCCACCAACAGAAGGATTCCCTTTTTTCCAGATCTTTGTTCTCTCTTGTCTTTTTGATAATAGCCATCCTAACAGGTGTGAGGTGATATCTCATTGTGGTTTTTATTTGCATTTCCCTGATTAGTAATGTTGAGTGTCTTTTCTTGTACATGTTGCCCATTTGTATGTCTTCTTTGGAAAAATATTTATTCAGGTTTTCTGCCCATTTTTAAACTGGAATATTTGTTTATTGCTATTGAGTTGTATGCATTCCTTATATATTTTGAACATTAAACCCTTATCAGGTATATGGCTTGCAAGTATTTTCTCCCATTCAGTAGATTGCCTTTTAATTTTGTTGGTTATTTTGTTTGCTACACAGAAGTTTTGGTTTGATGTAGTCCCACTTTTGTTTGTTTTGTTTGTTTGCTTTTGTGGATTGTACTTTTGGTCTTGTCCAAAATATGGTTGCCAAGACAAGGAGATTTTTCCCTGTTTTCTTCTAGGAGTTTTACAGTTTTACATTTAAGTCTTTAACACATTTTGAGTTAATTTTTGTAAGTGGTGTAAGATAGAGGTCCAATTTCTTTTGCATGTAAATATCAGATTTTCCCAACACCATTTATTGAGGAAAATATCTTTTCCCCATTGAGTATTCTTGACTTCCTTGTCCTTCCTGGTCTATGTATCTATTTTTATGCCAGTACCATACTGTTTTGATTATGATAGCTGCTTTGTATTATAGTTTGAAATCAGGAAGTGTGATGCCTCCAGCCTTGTTATTTCTCAGAATTGCTTTGAATATTTGGGATCTTTTGTTGTTCTGTACCAATTTTATGATTAGTTTTTCTAGTTCTGTGAAAAATGCCATTGGAATTTTGACAGGGATTGCATTGGATCTATAGATGGCTTTGAGTACGATGGACGTGCTAACAATGTTAATTCTTCCAATCCAAGAGCACAGGATATTTTTCCATTTATTTGTGTCTTCATCATTTCTTTCACCAATGTCTAATAATTTTCAGTGTACAGATATTTCACCTCATTGGTTAAATTTATCCCTAAGTATTTTTCATTGTTTTTAATGCTATTGTAAATGGGATTCTTTCTTTTTCAAATTGTTCATTATTAGTGTATGGAAACTAGCTTATTTCTGTAAGTTGATTTTTCATCCTACAACTTTACTGAATTCACTTATTAGTTCTACTTTTTGATGGAGTCTTTAGGATTTTCTGTATCCAAGATATCATCTTCAACAGAAACAGTCTTACTTTTTCATTCCCAAATTGGATGCCTTTTATTTCTTTTTATTGTCTAGTTGCTCTGTCTAGGACTTCCAGTACTGTGCTGAATAGAAACAGGGAGAGTGGGCATGTCTTGTCTTGTTCTTGACCTTAGAGGAAAAGCTTTCAGCTTTTCATCATTAAGTGTACATGTTAGCTGTGGTCTTGTCATATATGGCTTCTATTATGTTGAGGTATATTTTATCCAGACTTAATTTGTTGAGAGTTTTCATCATGAAAGGATGTTGAATTTTCTCCATCTATTGAAATGACCATATAAGTTTTATCCTTCATTTTGTTAGTGGAGTGTATCACATTGATTGATTTGCATATATTGAACCATTCTTGTATCCCAGGAATAAATCCTTCTTGATCATGACATATGATTCTTTTAATGTATTGTTGAATTCAGTTTGCTAATATTTTGTTGAAGACTTTTGCATGTATGTTCATCAGGGATATTGACCCGTAATTGTCTCTTCTTGTAGTGTTCTTATCTTGCCTTGGTATCAGGGTAATGATGGCCTTTTAAAATGAGTTCGTAGTGGATGGATTTTCCATTTTTTGGAGGAGTTTGAGAAAGATTTTTATTAATTCTTCTTTAAATGATCATCTTATTGTTTTCTAGCTGTTTTGTAGTTCATTTGTTCTTTTCTTCCTTTGCTGTCTTCGTTTGTGAATCAGTGATTTTTGTAGTGTTATGCTTTGATTCTCTTCTCTTTACCTTTTGTGTATCTACTGTAGGTTTTGCTTTGTGATTATCATGAGGCTTACATAAAATATTTTATAGATTTAACAGTCTATTTTAGGCCAATAATAATTTAACTTTGATCACATACAAAACTCTTCCCTTTTACTCCCCCCCCACCCCATGTTTTATGCTTTTGGTGTCATAATTTACCTCTTTTTATGTGTGTACCATTAACAGATTATTGAAGCTATAGTTATTTTTAATACTTTTGTCCTTTAACCTTTATGCTAGAGTTAAGTGATTTATATACCATTATATAATGGTATTAGAGTATTCTTAAACTGACTATATACTTACCTTTACCAGTGTGTTTTATACCAGTGTGTATGCCTTTAAACTCTATGAACTAAGCCTTAAATCTATAACATTCAGCTTCTGAATCCTTTCCAAGTGGTTGCTTTACAGTGTTTGAAACCCAGAAAACTTCGGTTTGCATGATGAGAATCTCAGAGACACACAGCCCTGAGTTTGATCCCCAGCCACAAAACAGTCTTTCTATTTTGGCCTTGAGCTCATCACTTTACAACAGTGGACCAGCCTCTATGAGCCCCAAAGAATGCCATGACATTCTAAACTTGTAAACACAGAGGGGTGGGGAAGAGGAGTGGTTATGGGATTGGGGTGTGAGTTGATGAGAGCTTTCCAGGATTTTTGTATGGCTAAGAAACAGACACACATGTTCCCCAAACAACTGACGTGTGTGGGTGGGGGAAGGGGTGTCTGGATCCCTGTGGTTTTGGTTGATCTCTCCTTTCTTGCTCTTTCTGACATGTCAGTAACTTTCTTTGAATAGGAAGAATTAAGTGCTGTTATTTTAAATTTTGTTTAAGCTAAAATGTAAATTGCATGTAATAGCTTATGGGATATTAAGACAGAAATCAACATCTCAAGAATCATCCTCTCATTTATAAATGAAGAAACTGAAGCTCAGAGAAGTTGTTACATTTTACCCAGGATCTCACATCTAGCAGGTGGCAGAACTCAGAGAAAAGCCCAGGTCTTCTTTCCTCCCTCCTTCACCTGAGCAATTTGATGCACATTTTACCAGGGAGAACTGAAGTCATTCCTTCTGATTTAGTGATGCAAACACAAATCAACATTCAGAAGCCTGTTCTGACTTTCTTTACATGAGTTTTAAATAGAGCATAATGGCCACTGAAAGTAAATCTTTGGATTGGAAACTTGACAGTGTCCTTCAGCTCTGTTCTCTCTCTTGGAATACAAAGACATATTTCCATTTTATTGCAAATTGAACATAAGCAGTTTTACTACATAGCCAGAAGTTTGGCAAGACCACTTTAAATTTCAAGCCTCCAGATTTATCTTGAATGAACGTGAGGCTGGGTGTGTGTGTGTGTGTGTGTGTGTGTATGTAGCCGTTTTCAATGGAGTTTTCCAGCTGTCTTTGGATGGGCCATGGACAGTTGTCTAGTGGTCTCAAACTGTATGTGCTCTGAATTTTTCATTTTTAGGACCAGATCTTTATGGAAAATGTGGGTGCAGTGAAGCAGCTTTGCAAACTAACCAACAACCTTGAAGAAAGAATAGAAGAGTTAGAAATATGGAACAGAAGACTGGCCAGGCTGAAGCGGCTCAGTAGTTGGAAGTCCTCTGCCAGTGAAGTGAGCTCGATCAGGTACTTCCAGGATTGCCATAGAAATCTGGAGAAAGGAGAGAATGGGGTCTTTCCATAACTAGATCACTCTGAATGGTCTGTTCTACCAAGCAGCAACCATTACTTTCTTTTAATTAAGTCCCTATTCTTCTTTCAGAATGTTTTGGAACACAGTTGTTTTATGTGATAATTTTCTTACTTTTCCTGTTGCTGCTTTTAAAATAAAACAAAATATAATGCATCTGTTTAAGAGCAGTGATTATAGGAAGTGCTACATTTTAACAAAAGGGTGGCCTTTCCTTTGAGGAGGAAAGGTGGCCATTTCTAAATTTAGAGAACCATGTTTGGTCCTCAGGGAAAAAACTTTTATTCTATTTTTTTTATTACTTAAGGAGGCACGTGCACATTTTCTGATATATTTTGAGAAAAAGGGAAATGTAACTTTTAATGCATTTATTTATACTTACTAAGTTTCTTGTGCACAAAAAGAACTCTCAGTTGCCTCGACTCTTCCTTTTTTAAATTACCACTGAATAATAATAAAAAAAAAAAGCATACTGCTTTGTTAGTGACAGTCTGGGCCTTTGTCATATAACTCTTGGAGAGGCAGCTGAATCAAAACTAATTTTCTCTTTCTCTTTTTAAAGCAAATGTAGCAGAGCTCTTAGTGCATCTTCTCCAAAAAGGACCATTCCCAAAAAACCCAGCAAGGTAAATAGACTTAAATTTATAATGAACAGAGGTGATATTTTCTATTCAAATAGTCTTTAGAAAAATTGATCAGGAATTTTTTTCTTCATTTATTTGTTGATGGGTTCCCTAGGCATCCTTATGCACTTACGGCATTTAAATATTATCCTTTTAATAGATATTAACTGGTTTTTCAAAGAGGAGTTTAGAGATATGAGTATAGAACCTGTTCATTTCAGAAATATTGTTCTGCCGCTTTTTGTGTGTATAGTCCCCATCAGGTGAAATTCATCAGCAGATGACTCTGGGCTGCAAGATCTGTGTGGATGCCTTGACTTGACTCAGGCCCTTATCTTTGTCTCCAGAAGATCTCAAAGGGATGTCAGTTAATCCACAAATCCCTTTTCCCTTTGATATTTAGTACTATATATGCAAATGGAGACTAGGTATTCACTTGCTTGCAAAGGATAAAATGTGAAAGCTATATTAATGAATAGAGCATTTCATCAAACAGGATAACATTTACATTAAAGGTGAAGGTTAATCATTTATTAACTTAAAGGACACCCTCTCCATTGCAGAGAAGTGTCAGTGAGGAAGAAGCTGCAATACTCTCTTCCTAGCTGCCATTCATAGATAGCTGTGAACCTCAGCTCGCTCCCTCAGATCCACTAGTTTTCCAAAGGTGGCCTTTCCCGGAGGAAGGTATTTATGACCTTAACCTATATCCTGTTACGGGCTGACCTGATGTTTGGGCCATTGTCGCAATTTACTCTCTACTCCTCATGTTGTACGTCATTGAACTATTCTAAGAGGGTTTAGAAAGTTGAATATTCTACTAAAAACTACTAAAATGTTATGCTGTGGACAAGCTTCTTGCTATACCAATAGGCATAAATACATGGATAAATGTATATGTAGAAGTGTTTTGGGGCAAGTTTACTTAATTGCATTGGGAAACAGATAATAATAATGTCTACCTTACAAAGAGTATTGATAGGATTAAATGAGCGAAAGCCCTTAGCACAATGCCCAGCACATAGCAGGTTGCTCAATAAACACAAAATACTAAAAATATTGTAGGGAAGGTGCTTTTTGTACTAAGGGGATAGAGGGAATTGTATCTACATCCATGGAGGCCCTGATTGGTACAATTTGGCTCCTGTGCAACCTCTGTAGCACCCATCTTGCACACAAAGAATCTTTATTTTGCAGTTTTCTCAGAATATTAACTAGAACATACGGTCCATGAGAACAGGCTCTGTGTCAGCCTTCCTCATTCTGTGTCCCCAGGAACAGACACAGAGCAGGTACTCAAGAAATATTTGTCAAATGTATGAATGAATGGAGAGCCCAGTCTGAAAATATTCCCTGAAGGCTCACAATCTAAATTTAAAGCATTAAGAGATTCAGTGTCTTGGGTGTATGCGTGGTGGGGGAGTTGGGGTGTGGACACAGGCTCAGGGACTTATATGGACATCCAGACATTAAAGAGCACCCATTCAATTCAGAGACTTCATGCAGTCACTGTCCTACGCCCCTGTGCATGCAAAAGTTAGTAAGATGTGGCCCCTTCTAAAGAATTTTAAGGTAGCCAGGGAAGATCAGAAGAGAAAACAAAGAACAGTTGTACCCGGATGTGATAAATATTGCAGAGGCTCAGAGCACCGTGGGAGTATCATGGGACCCGGGCCTTCAAGGGGGCGTAAGCTTTGGCTAGAAAGTAGCAGGTGCTGCTGGAGAGGTTTCAGATGGAATGGCACAAGCCAAGGTCTGGGAGCTGGCACCAGCTTCCTTGAAGGACTAGGTGGGAGTTTGTTAGGGAGGAGAGTCGAAGTTAAGGCTGAAAATATGTTAGGCTGTTTCTGGATCACCAGTTAAGGAGTTCATTTGGCAGCCATGAAGACTTTTTGAATAATAACAATAATATCTAAGTTGTATAGTGCATCCTTTCTTTACAGACAGAAAAGGGAGGCAGCATGGCATTGGGGTTAAGAGCACAGATTCCGGAACCAAGTGTTTTTTGGTTCAAATCCTGGCTTTGTGACTTACTAGCAGTGTGATCTTGAGTAAGGAACTTAGCCTTCCTGGGACTCATGTTTCCACATCTCTAAAATAGGGATGATAACAGTACTTGCCTTATAGAGTAGTTGAGGATTACTGTGAGGTTAAATAAATTAGCATACATAAAGCACTCAAGAGTGTGTGGCACATAAGTGCTATGTAAGTGTCCACCGCTATTTAGTATTTTCAAACCCACTGTTTCAGTGGTTCTCATACTTTGGCATGTATCAGTCTTCCAGGGAGCTTGATAAAATACAGGAATGGTGGTGTTTTGCTCTCCCTGTACTGTCTTTCTAGGAGGTTTTGGCTATTTCTCCGAGGTTAACTTGCCCTTCCATACACCAACCCCCTAGGTAACCTTTATTCCTCAAAGCCTCCAAGATCCTTGGAGCATTGAAACACAAGTGTATGGGTGGAGAGTGGTCCTCCTGGGTTGAGTGGGGGCATTAATGAGCAAAGTGCTGGCTATGAGCAGTTGGTGGGCTTTACCTGATGGTGAGAAGCCTGGCTGGGCCAATGCTGGCCAAGATGATGCTCATTCTGGAGGAAGATTCAGGTCTCATCCAGTCCAAACGGTTCCTCTCCTTTCCTTCTCTTTCTTTACTTCCAAGAGGTAGGTGGGTGATTCCTGCTGTGTGTTGATGATTGGGGCGAGGTGATAAAGACCTCAGGGTTCGAGTAAAAATTCAGAGTATGTGGAGAAGGGACAGAGGGAAGGAACAAACACAGGCTTCTTCTGAGAGCCCGCCTCCCCCCACAATTCAGGGTATTATGAAAATTAGTAACATAGAGGTCAAATGGATCATACTGAATAAATGATGTATCATCTCAATAAGTATGTTTATTTTTAAATTTATTTATTTATTTATTGTTTTAATCGGGGTATAGTTGTCTTACAATGTTGTGTTAGTTTCTACTGTACAGTGAAGTGCAGTTCCCTGTGCTATACAGCAGGTTCTTATTAGTTATCTATTCTAAACATATTAGCAAACACAGATACTTTTCATTATCTCACTTCTTACAGATTCACAGCCCCCCAACTCACACTACATGGTAACCTATTGAATCAGAATTTTTCAGGGCATTTAGATTTTTTAACAAACTCCATAGTAATTCTCATGCAGACTTGAACTTGAGAAACATTTCTCTGTTAATCAGGTCCACCCAGTAACTCTGAAAGGTAGGCAGGTATGATTTTATCTTTCCTATTTTATTGATGAGGAAAATGAGGATCAATGACACTTAGATGACTTGTTCAGGGCTTGACTCCAGGTCTGACCCCAGGTCTTAGGCCATTTTCCATACAAGGTCAAAGGCTTTTGAGCAAAAGCATGGAGACTTAAAATAATCTGGCAGCTTTGGGGAGTAGGTTGGAAGGGGAAGCTCTTATTCTGAGATTAATACTACTTAATTCTAATCAATTCAGCAAATTTCATTGCATTGAGTTCTTTCTTTGCACAGCACACTATTAGGATGTCCTCAAAACCGTTCCAGTGGGATGTAGGAATGGTATAAACCATCCACTTCTTGGTATTCAAAGTGGCTTCCTACTGCACTTATGGATGACTCAGTTATGATAACCCTAAAATTTGGGTACTTGTTAAAAAGCGTGTGGTTAATTCCGCCCCCCCGACCCCCGATATTACATTGAAGAACATTTTCTTTATGCAGATAACCTGCCCAAGAAATTCAAAGACCAATTTTAAACTATTTCTTAACTACCACCATCCTCCAATTCCCTTCCAATCCTGTACCCGCAGAAGGAAGCAAACATAATACTCTGTATTGCATTAGTAGGAAACTCATATTTAAGGAGCACCGTATTTAACTGGGCAGAAAGCCTCTCGTATCTCCAGCGAGATTCCTCACCAGTTGCACAGCTGTCTCTCCTATGGTTCTTGGCTCATTCCTTATGTGCAAGTTTTTAATGCCAATATGTACCAGTCCTAAAGGTTTGTCTCACTCACTTCCTAGAGAGTGTAATTTACTTATTTTCATATCCCCCTATAACGTTGCTCATAGTAGTGCTTAATGAATATTTGTTGAATGGATATAAGAATAAATAAGACATAGGCCCAGAACAGTCCTCAAAAATAGGTGGCAGCATTGGAAAAAACTGTATATGATTTAAGGAGTAATTAATAGTATTTCATGCCACAAAAATCTTTTCTACAATTTGTCATGCTGCCTGAAGTTCTTCCATTGGGATTTATTCTATTATGTCTTGAAGACTTTTTGATTTTCAAAAGTATCCTATTAAAAGAAATGGACCTCTGGGTTCTGACAGTATATTGTCTGGTAGGTCTTCTCTCATAAAACTTCAAGAAAAAGCACTAATGAATGGCACAGACAGTTGTCCTGCAGGGAAGAGAGAGTGTAGCCTGGAGTGCCAAGAAAAGGGAAGAACTTGGCTTTGAAAGGACTTTGTTTTCAGAGGCAGAGAGGAGGAGGGAGATGTAGGCTGAAGGGAGCAGCGAAGATCCCCTGGGGAGTGAGTCTTCAGGCATCCTTCTCAAAGTTGGCATCACTGATTTTTCACTTCTCATTGCTGAATTTTTTATAGGTTTCTTTTTCAGGAAAAAAACAGTCGTGTCCCAATTGGGTTTTCCAGACCTTGGTTATAACTCTCATTGCTGTGATGGCATTTTGGTAAGAAAAACATCAGTGTTGTGCTATGTCAAGCTCTTTTTCTCTTCCCATCTCCCTTTTCTCACACATGAACTGGGGACTGACTTTCTATTTACTTTGAAGACAAGGAGCCCTTTAAACCAGACATTGGCCTTTGATTTAGCTTAGAGATACAGGAGCCCTTTATAAACTCATACTTTGAAGAAAAGAAGCACAGGCTTTCTGCTCTTAAATATGAGATAAAGGATGATCTTTTTTTTAATCAACTGATATTTCTTACCAGCTCCCTGTGCCTTTCGTGTGTGTGTGTGTGTGCGCATGTGTGTGTGTATCTTTTTTAGCCTTGCAAATAACTTTCTCAAAATCTTTGCTCTCCTTCCTATCTACTTAGGCGAAAAGAGTGAGTAGGTAATCACGTACAATCCACTCTCCCATGGATATTCATATTATTAGAATTCTTCTGGATTTTATACCAAAAGAGACTGAGATTACCCCAAGATACGCAATATGATGAAATGGTAGCCAAATGCACTAAGCAGTTAAAGCAAATACATTTGCTACGCAAGCATCACGTGCCTTTTGACTGCCATCCCTCCTTCGCAGGGAGGAGGGGTCATCCTTTACTGGGATGAGGGGTCTTTATCAGGTCTCTGGTCTTCAGGCTCGTGCTGCTGCTATGATGGCTCCTCAGCCTTTGAGCCCTGGTCATCTTTCCTATGTCCTCCTCGCCTTCTTGTTTTCGGTCTGTTTACATGGTGGAAGGGGTATTTATCTGTCCCTCCAAAAATGCTTTGTTAGCGTGGAAAAGGACTAGCTTCTGGGCCTTGTCTCAGAGGAGACAATTATCCTCAGAGGCTAAGTAAGGGATGGTCCCAAGGATGCTTCCAGTTTCTTGATCCAAAGCAGCTTCTCAGTTATAGGAGACATTGTGGTCTCTCTGTACCCTTCTCTCCCCTCAGCATTTTAACTTTTCACTTGCTACTGCCCACTGCAGGAAGCATCCCCAAGTATTTGACACCACTACATAGAATTCCCAGTAGAAGCTGGTGTACTTTTCTCACTCTCCTAAGTGAACTTGTCTTCTTCTGGGATTCCCAACTCAGGAGAATGTGAGCATCTACTTTTCACAGACATGCTTAACATTCTCTAGAGACACAGATTCCCATGAAAATCCAATGCAAAGCTTATAGGAAGTCTAATTTTGATATGAAGAGACTGCTTTTTAAATGTGCTTATCAGATCGTACAAATTCCAATGTTGTTGACCTCTAAGACCAGAAATGGGAGGTATTGGGCTTATTGTCTTGTTTCCAGCCTGTGGTGTACCTGAGAAGGGTCAAAACCCTAAAGAAAGAAGCAGATGTCTATTTCATTCTATGATCCTAGAAGTTGCCCAGGCCATGCAATGATGCAGATGGTAAACAAATCAGAAAGAGTATTTAAGGATTAGTAATAGGGAGATAGAAAATGGGGAATGTGGGAGAACAAAGTCAGGGAGACTGGACCACAGCAAGTAGTTGCCAGGGCGACGCCACAAATTCTGTCTAACGGCATCTTTGGAGCTCAGCACCACTTTTCCCAGGCAGGGCTGTGCCCACTGGGCAGTAACCAGCTGCTGCTGAGAACACTCTGGGGATCCTTTCCTCATGAGCAGAATTCAAATGTGTGGCACATTTCTTTGTGTATATTTAATGATGGTAAATCCACGACCTTCGGTGGGGAAAGATATCAATACTAATGAGGAGTTGAGTCTAGAGAACCAGATGTGACATCAAGCCGGCAAGAGGTCACGTAAGGTCCCCTGTGTCAGGCCCAGCACACGGCGGGATTGTAGAGAGAGTTCTAGAGACACCCTCGAAAGAGGAGAATGCTGAGTGTTTGGATGTGTGAGCAATATTGGGAAGAGCTTCCCAAAGCTCAGGACCTTTAAGGTAAGCTTCCTTTTGGCTATATAAGTGCTGATAACTGGGGGGAAAGATACACTCATTATTTTGAACTCATGTAGTGTGGAAATAGATGCTTTATTGTACTTTTTTCCTTCCTTTGTCCAATTTGGTGTATTGTGCTCTGAAAAGACAGGCAGCAGGAAGATGTCAGAAGCGGCCAAAGGGTTTGGCACCTACTGCTGACTAAACCTGTGTGGCCTTTCATTTCCCAACACCACAGTGTGGATGCCCTCCACCAGGGGGATATGAACTTTGCTCTGAGTTTTCCTGCAAGGAGCAGAGGGCTGCCTCCAGTGATTTACATGCTTCCTCTTGTAATCTTCCACTAGTGACAGACGTTTCTGAGACAGCTTGCCAGGGCCAGGGGGCTGCTTTGTGGAAAAATCCGTCAGCCCGGAGTAGCCAGGGAGCCTCTGAGCTCCGGGAAGATTGGGGGCTTTTTCTCACCAGGGCTGAGAGGCAGAACTCTGCTGGCTTCCATGGCACTTCTGTCAGCCCTGGCCGCCTGCCCTCTCCTCTCCCATCTGTGTAGCCTGGGAGAGGACATCTCTGGCCAGCTGGTTGTGTGAGATATATCTGGAATCAAATCTGCCACATAACTCTTTCTTTCTTTTTTTTTTTTAACAGTGGCTTGACAATAGTCTCCCTTTACATACTTAGCTTAAAAGATCAAGACCGATGTACCCCAAGTCTCCCTTTGAGGTGAGAGTTCCAGTCTTGTTTTCCTTTGGGGAGAAGGATTCTTGAAGGCCTCTTTCATTAATTATTTTGTTCTCCTCCTCCAGCAACCTCACCAGCTCCCAGGATCCGGCTCTGCCACCCACAGCTTCCCCCTTGGGTAAGATCGTCACATTCCTCACCCTCAAACCTAGCCTGGGTTTCATGTGAATTGTCAAGAGAAGAACCAGCCTTTCAGGTTAACCTTGTCACTCTCCTCCCCTCTGTCCAATGCCTTGCAGCACCTAATACATCTGTGGCAACCACACAACCTCCCTTCCAAGTACCAGAGATCACTTTCTGTGCGATCCTGCCATGTCAGGAGACTTACTGCTGTCCCAACTGGGGAACAAGAAGAGTCCTCTCAAGCCCTGTGCAAAGACAGCCCAAGGAGAAGGAGCCCCATCAGAGGCCATGGGCAGGTAAAGAATGTTCAAAGAGTAACAACTAGTGCTTTGAACCTGAGGTTTTTCCCTCCTCACTATTTACTTGGATAGTCTGTTAATGGTTCCACTCTTCTATTTGGGGTGGCAAGATCTTTGAAAACACAAATACACAAACTTGTAATCACTTGTAATATTGAGTTCCCCACCCAGGGATGAAATTTTGGTTGATTCAAGTGAAAGGGTCTCATTTGTTCACTGCCAACCAAGCTAGTAATAGTAGCACAAGAGAAGTAATTATGTGAAGATGGGTAGATCTTTTGGCTCACTTAGAACTTATAAAATGATGTGGCATCTGGGCTCTCTGCCCAAACCAAGCAGGGCAAAGTGTAAAAGGCTATGAAGATTCTGATGAGTTCAGGGTAAGCTTTAAGTCCCTGAAAAAGGCTTCCACTTTCAGATTATCTTCTTCCTCCTCCTTGGGACACACACACACACACACACACACACACACACACACACACACACACA